TATGACATGTCTAGAAGTCCTTTTATTTATTCTCAAATGTGCAAATGTATCAAGTTGTTGACTTCTCTTCTTTTAAAGAGTTCATATATTTAATGTCATCATCAGAAGTAAATGTTACAAATTATTATTTTAACTCACTTCAATTGATAATGCCTTTCCCAAAGTATATTTTCCAAATTCAAAAGAAAAAAAAATGCTCACTCATAATTCTATGTCCACAACAATTAAAAACTATTTTCAATTATTCCTATTTCCTTTAAGTCTTAATCATACTTATATGTCATTCCTGCACAGAGCTATTTTTACATGTAAATATAATTTCAAAGTCTGTTTTTTCCCATATAGCATTATAGCCTCAGTATTTCCTCACAATGATACATAGAAGTTCAAAATGATCATTTCTAGTACCTGCATGGTTATAGTCTTCCATGATTAGACTTGCAAAGATTCCCAATTGTACTGTTGTAAAATGAATGTTTTCCTTCATGTAGTTCTTTCTTTCTTTTATAATAGATTAGTGGTTTCAAACTTGAGCACACTTCAGAATCACCCAGAGGATTTGTTAAAACACAGGTGGCTGGGCCCCACCCTCTGAGCTTCTGATTCAATAGGTCAGGATGAGGTCAAAAATCTGCAATTCTAACAAGATCCCAGGTCATGCTGATTCTGCTTATCTGAGGATTGCTTTTAAAAATCACTGTTAGATTATTTACATGAAATATTGTCATTGCTGAATTGGGGTTGACAAATCAAATAGTCTAGACCTTTTTATGGCATCTGAGAAAAGCTTTCTTACAAGCTTACACAGATTTATATTGTCAACTGACTTCTTGATACTTGAAGCATGGGTAGATACCAACTAGCTGAATGAACAAATGAACGAAGGAAAAATCCGACATCTCTCCTTTTCAAAATCATAACATTAAGCCTGAGATCAATATATTTACATTTCAAAGATATAAAGCACGGCTAAATGGTAATATTCAAATCTCTGTTATTGCACAAATCATCAAGGTGGTTTTATTCTAACTGTCCAAATTCAAAAGTATTGAAAAGTAACTGAAATATGTATATTTTGGAGGGAAGTAAATTTGTATCTGCACTACACAGATACAAACTAGTTTAGTTTGCTTGTCTACCAGGCAGTTCGAAAACAATGTTGCTCACTGGAAGGTATAGGGCAAAAATCTGGCTTTGAAAATTATTTTTGATAAACTAGAAACAAGAGAATTCCCACTTTGGCAGGGGATTATCAGCATGTTTGCCTAAAAGCCACACTCAAAAACCTCAGGGGTTTTCCCTTGTACTAGATTCTCTTTGTATTTTGGTAGAGATTAATTCCTCACCTTGAACTGGAGACATATGCATATGAACAAACATGCCTACATAAGCATGTAGTTACATCTACATAAGTACATGCTAGTTAGTCACGTACATGAAGTACCTATTCATACGCCGGTTTCTAAAAACCCACAGATAAGACATAGCAAAGATATCCTCTGCAGAAAACGTCTTCTGGGCTCTTTCTCAGTAATCTGCTCACATTCTTATATTTTGCATTCTTATTTGCTGTCACTATATCTGTTTGAATGTATAAAGAGAAGATGTGTTCATATACTTAATAATCATAAAACCATATACTCGTATAAGTAAAGTGATTGGGTGTTGTCAATAACCTTAGAATTCGGTTGGCAACGTAATTGTTAACTCTGGTTTATTTGAGAAGACTAAACCAAGAGTAAATGTGTTACACTCAGAGTTATAAAGAGAATGTTATATTTATGAATTTATAAGGGATAGTTTTTTTCTTAGTCAGTGTTTTGGTAATTGTGTTATCTTTAAATAAGAGCTAAGTCAATAGTCTTAAAAGACCCTAAAATGTTCTCTGCATAGACAGGTTCATTATGGCCACATGAAGACATTGCTGTTCTCAGATTGACAGAAAACTAAGGGATAAATGCTAAGACATCATGTACGTTTCATTGTATGTATCTTCTGTACAATAAAATGGATAAATGTGTCTACTTATTATGTATTATGTAATAAATTTTGTAGCCTCAAGAAAGATATGACAGTTTAAAATATGTCAATGTTAAAAATATAAACTTAAGAAACACAGAATTGCAATGCAGACACTGTGTGGTGATCATTCCAGTAGTGTGTTTGAGAATTTGACTAAAAGCCCTTACTCTTTATTCCCCATGTTCGGAGAACCTTAAATTAAGGTACTAGCACCAACAATAGGATCATTTGAAAACCAGTACCTCTGAACGTGGTTTTATTTTATTTTTTATTTATTTATTTTTTTTTATATAACTGCCAGTTCTTTACAATGAGTTAGTGCAGAATGACAATCAATTAAATATAGTCCCCTAACACAAATCAAAAATTACTTAGCCAAAGTGTGTGCACATCAGTCAGAGAGTTTTAATTTGTGCAATCAGTGAAGAGAAGGAAATGGGCAGAAAATGTGCAAAGAAGGGTACCTACGGTTTGCCTGAGAAATTTCCATTCCTAAATTCAAGGGCATAGGAGCTAAAAAGCCTCTAGGGATAACCAGAACCAACAGAGGAGCCTTTTTAGAATCATTTTACTTCATCAGGGTGGGAATGGATCCCTGGCAAGCCAAAAGACAAGGATTTCAAAAAAATATACATTCATGAATGTTTTCCTTTTTTGACAAATAGTGTTAGCTTCCAATTTAGGCAGTGATGGAACGCTTCCTTTTCTAAAAAACAAAGATTTGAAAAGATGGGTCAATTTAAAAGTGAAATCTGTGGTAAAAAATAGTTCAAATCGTGTGTGGACCATGCAAAATGAGAAAAAGTGAATGGCTAAATTGTGTTAAAACACCTGTCATAGCAGCATGATGCCATAACTTGCCGGGCCAGTCAGAGAATAACAATGTAACAGTCAACTCCCTTGTTGTTGGCTTACCTGGAACATTGGAAGCATGAAACTGAATGTGCAAAATATGCTCTGCTGTGACACACTGGTATTAAATTCAAATGCTATCACTAGGGAAGCTGATGCAGTTTTTTTCAGTAAAGCAAATCTCAATTCCTCTATAAATGCAGAGATTTTACCAAAAGGAAACCATTTTCTAAACAGAAAAAATGGAACACCAAAAAATATCTTAAATGTTTACATGATATAAATTTCTTATTCATAAATATAGATATCAAATTCTTTGGCAATTGACTAAATATGGACGACCAGATATACAAGTAAATAAACATACATAATATACAGGGGTGCCGAAAAAATGTATACACATTTTAAGCGATGTTAGCTTAAAATGCGTATACATTTTTTTGGCACCCTCTGTATATTTTTGCCTAAAGATATCAAGTTACATTAGAGAGAAAAGTATCTAATTTATTAATTATGAGTTTTGTCAACACTTGTATTATAAAAATGAATACTTGTTTAAAGAAATAAAACCCTATGTTTTGATTCTAGGCTCCAGGGCCTAATATTCTCAAGGAGCCTGAGTCTCAGCTGAGAAAGGTCAACCTAGTAACTTTGACATATCCATGAAAACACTAAAGCACTATTTTTTAATGTACTAAAAAGAAAGCAGGTAGATTGGATAAAATAAACCTGTATGTTATCCTTATAATAAGAACAAGAGAACAATAAGCATTGAGGCAACAGTTTATCCTAGTGAGGCCATTCTCCCAGATTTTTACTCAGACCCCTAATAACATATCATTATATCCTGTTGAATACCATTTGAAAGCAAAATAGCAATTATTACCTGAAAAATTTTTAAAAAAATCAATAAACACTGCCCTAACTTAAAATAGTTTAAAATACAAAATGATTGACATTATGCTTGAAGGCTAATTATGATCAAACTTTTCTTCAAATAACATGCTGTAGAACCTTAAAAAATTTGTCATACAAATAACTTTCAGCCAAAAGCTGAAATTAAGAAAATGTTACATAGACAAAATGTCTACTGGTCTATCACTGACTTGAATATTGTTAAGAATATTCATTGACTATACTAGATGTACACATTCAAATCATTTTGTTCTATAAAATAAAATAACAAGCAAGATATCTGTAACTTATTCAAATGAGGAAAGACTGAATCTCCTTTGAATCATAACCTCTGATATTTAGGAAACGACTACAAAACAAGGTAGAAAAATACTTATCAATCAATGGCAGATTTCTAAGAATATATCAGTGCTATATTTTTCATTGTCTTATTTCTGAGAATTTTTAGTCTTATGAAAAATCACAAACTTAATTTGAGAGATTAAGTTTTCTTGATTATTAACAAAACAGATCACAAGTTAAAGGCCTGAAATGTTACTTTATTGAGCCACTAATTACAATCTAAGACTGTTCATGATATCTGGTCAGATTTCTAATTAGGACAATTGTAAAATGAACAGAGACCACCAAATCATTGATTGGCACAGGTTCACATTTCTATTCAACCCCATTATACTAAGCAAGAAATGGCAGTCCCTAATTCACCACGCCAGTGTACTGAGCTTTCCTTCTCTTCACTCTGGTGCATAACCCAAGCTTCTTGAAAAATCATGTTCAAATAATTTGAAAGTTACCAGGACCAAAGGATGATCTTCCCAAAGTAGATATATGGAAGACTAGAAAAGAATACTGTTTCTGTTTCCCATTGGGGGGGGGGGGCGGGTTGTAGTTTCTTTTAAAACTAAATATATAAACAAAAACAGGAATTTTTTTTCTTTTCCTCATTCTATTTGACCTCCATGATCTGTTTGGTGCACATGTTTGTGTATATATAAAGAGAGAGAGAGAGAGAGTTCTATTTATTTAGCCCTCAGCAGTAATTATGCATCATACATTTAAAAATGTTCATACCTTGTGTCTTCAAATCCAACTGTAACCATCACAGGGGAAGTTCCTGCTTAGTTATTGGTCATATTTCCCAGTAACTCCCCAACTCAAGCCCTGAATAATCTCATAAAGGACAAGATATCATGTGAAAAGTAAAACTTTACCCTAATGAAGAGGATCTTTTCTCCCACTCGGTATCTTCCTTGCGAGAGCCTCTCCACACAGAATTTGTTTGGGCATTTGCAAGGAGGGTCTTCAGAAATTCTTTTCACCTGAAATAGAAGAACAGGCAAGTTCATTCTCCACAATCAAGTCCCATTTAGATTAATTTGTCCATGGGTTCTAAGGTCCCTGGGTCGTTAATGCTTTTAAATGTGTTCTATATCAGACTATGGATATGATGTGTGCACAGAGTGTCACATTAAATCCTAAGTAGGTAAAGGTCGAGCCCTGAAGGCCAATAACTGCACTAAGGCATAAGCTGGATGATGACAATGATAACGACACTGGAATGACGAGCATATCAATTAGCAGCATGGAAATGGAGAGCCGGGTTCTCATTTTTGGAGGATTACAAAGAAAATGTACATTGGGTCGCCAAGGTAAATATTGAAAACTACAATAGACTATACCAGTATGTGTATGTTTCCTCATTATATTGGGTTGTCGGAAAAGTCGTGACGCATTTTTGCAACGAAACACAGAAAAAAATACGTTATGACTTTTCCAACAGACCAATAATTTTAATGATATTAATTTTATCCATTTTCAAAATAAATGAGAATGAAACAAATTGTTTTTTTAAATGAGACTATTATTTCATCTTACTTTGAACTCAAAGATTTTCTTAAAGAAGTCATCTCTAATTCGCCCAGACTCACCCAGCAACTCACTCCATCTCAGTAAATCTCACCTACCAAAACCCACTTCTGTGGCAGTATCTTACAATTTATATGCATTTTATAGAATCCATGTTTGAATATCAGATTTTATCTCTATTTTATCTACCTCCTTACTCTTTAAAAAATACATAAGCTAAATGATATGCTCAGAATGCTTATAAATAGTCATGACTATTAGAAGACATTGTGTAGTCCACAATTTTAGAAATAAGGTTTATATTTATGTTTCATATTTATGTTTTTGATTGGGAACTTACCATGCTGTGTCTCATAACTGTCCTCTCTTGAACTAACCAGCCAACGAAACCCAAAACAATAATTCCCCATGTTTTAAGTCAAAGTTTCCATGGATGAAAAGATTTAAAGGCTGTGAAGCCTCAATTTGAGAAGCTACATGGAACCAATTTAGTTTCTGAAGGAACTGGCTTAGTTGGACTCTCCTCACCCAAATTCTGTTTTCCGCAAAGACACGGTGCCTAGAGTTTTGTCATCAAAGACATTGCCTGACTTCATTCGGCCTTCTACAAAAACTGTGGGAAGAGTAACACAAGAACTCACTTGCATGTTGGTGTAAAGGACTTAAATAGCTTGCTTTCCCTAGAATAAGACAGATTCCAAAAGTATGCAAAACACTAGAGGGAAATCTAGAAAGGGTGGAGGAATACCAAAGCAAAATTTATCTTAAGGCGTATACTATTATGCCTCTGTGAGGACCTATAAAGAAAAACCAACGCTATTGCTGGGGAAAGAGAACCAACTTCAGATATATATTTTTTATTCGTCCCTTCCAGGATCCCTAATTCTGTCAACATATAAACCTATAATTCCTAACACCTATTCTTATAGCAAATTATATCTCAGTTATTGGTTAACATTAATTTCTCTTTGCTAGATTGTGAGTTACAGAAGGATTAAGATAGTATTTCATTACAGTTTTAAATCCTTAAGTAAAACACAATGCCTTAATGGCATACTCGTATACTACGTGTTCAATAAATGCACACTGAATAAATAAATGAATGGATAAATAAGAACATGGACCTATACAAGACACAGGGAAATTAGTGCAACAGATTAAGATTGGATTTAAAGAATCTTTTTTTTTTTTAAAGATTTTTATTGGGGAATTGGGGGTTGGGAACAGCACTGGGGAATTGGGGGGAGGGGAACAGAAAAGTTGCTGTCGTTTTGTTCTTCAGTCTAGTTGTGGAGGATGTTGCTTCACTGGCCCAAATTGGCACCACCACTGCGCTCTTCTCAGGCGAGACAGATCAGTTGCCAGCTTCTGGACGGCCGCTCACTGCAGCTGCTGGCCGCTCACGCTGGCTGCTGGCTACACATGGTAGCCCGTGGCAACCTGCTGCAGCATACACCGTCACCAGTGACTAAGGGCAGCCCAGCTCCAGGTTGAGCTGTTGTTCAGCATCTTAGCTGTAGAGGGCAGTGTCACTGGCCCTCATATGTGGGATCTGAACCGGGGCCCTCTGGCATCCCAAGCCAACTCTTAACCAATGCGCCACTCGGCCAGCCCGGATTTAAAGAATCTTACAGATGATTTCATTGAAAAATGAGAAAACTGCCTAACGTCATCTTAAATTAGTGATTAGGTCTATGTATTTGAGTTCTGAATTTTTCCTACCGTATGATATTTGGCCCAGAGATACATCAACCCACTCCCTTAGTATTAACAGAATTCTGTCCCTAGGGGTGTTTTGAAGGGATATTCTTGAACAATATAGTGATAATAGAACAATAAATACAAGAGTTGGGTCATAGTGGGTCATTCCTTTCCAAAATGCAGAGCCACATTCTGAGGTGGGGGTGGGGTGACAGGACCAATGAATATGTGCTGTTTTCAGTGTTCCTCTATGTGTATCTCTTTGTATATGTATGTATAAAAATTATATATATGTATAAATACATAGGTATTTATAGAAATTATATATGTATATACATACATACTAGGGGTGCCAAAAATGTATACAAGTGGACACTTTGGTCAACGTTGCTCAAGCAGTAGTTCGTTGTAATCAGAAGTGTCTGGACGCTGATGGTAACCACTTTGAGCACCTCTTGTAAATGCAGAAGTCAAACGTGACTTGTTTTCATCTTTTGTTATTGGTATATGTTGAGTATTACAATTTCAATAGTTCTTTTCCTTTCTTAAAATGTATATACATTTTTTTGGCACCATGTGTGTGTGTGTGTGTGTGTGTGTGTGTGTGTGTGTGTGTGTGCATGTGTGTATACATATATATAATGTTTAATTTATATCAAGGGTTTCCATGAGAAAAGAAGGAATGAGGAAAAGTAGGCAAGTAGGGAGGGAGAAAAGGAAGGAGGGAGAAGGACTTTGGCTATCCAGAAGAACATCAGACGGTTGCTCCACAAAAGAACATGGTCCAAACTTTAGGCGTGCCATGCTTGGCACAGCCTTACTGCCACATAGTAATTGAGCAAACAGTAAATTGGTGTTCAAGTGGTTCCTCTGCTAAGAAATGACAATCACAAGTATGTATGGAAAGTATTTCTATCTTGAAGTGTTCTTAGACAAAACACAGAAACGTATCCCATGAAGTGAAATACAAAACAAAAAACAAAAAAAACCCCAACAATTTTTCAAGTGACCTGCCCTTCTCTAATGCCTTCCTAGCTTTGAAAATGAACTTGTCTTTTTTTTTTTTTTAAATCAAGGGCTTTTTTGTAGTTGTATGAGATGGAGGCAGAACTGGAAGAGACAAAGCCAGACTGTGGGTAGTGGAAATATATTGTTAAGTAAATAGTGACTGATGACACCTGTGCTTCTTACATTACCTTGGGATAAGTCAGGCTGGCTGGTGTTCCGTTTTTGGCCAGGAACCCAGCCAGCTTTCTGCTGAAATGGGATTTCAAGAGGAGCCTGATTACTCAGAATTACACTATCTCTCATCCCCAGACTGAGGAAGTTGATGGAGAAGAGGAAGAAAGTTAAGAATGGTTTCTTAGAACTGTATTCAACTCATTGTGTGGGAACTAGCTCAACACCAGGGAATGCAGAGACAGCTAAACCTGACCCTGCCATTTTATCACAGCTAAATCACTCTATCAGGACATCTGGAGAATAAATTAATCGGAAGAAACTCCACTGTTTCTTTTATGATATCTTGATTAAAGAAGTTGGGATGAATTATCCACATAAGGGGTCACCTATTTTTTCCCCTCCAATTTTCCACAACTCCCCTAAGTAGCAAACAAGGAAATGTGAGGAAACACTGACCGTTTCAACTCTGGCAGTTATTGTTGAAACTGTTCACAGGAATATGATATCTTAACACTGGTCTGCTTCTCTTACTTTTTTTTCTTTTTTCTGTTGTCTTCATTCTTTTCTCTTTTTCTGCCTTTTTCTTCTTTTACTCCCCCTCTTTATCATCCTTCTTCATTTCTTTTCTTTCTTTCTTTTTGATGCAAATAACAAATTTGGCAGAGTAAAAGTAACCAATATTACTAACTAAACACAGGAACTTTGCAAGCAATCTCTTATATCCCTATTCTAATGCACAATTTGGGGTACATGAAGTTTAACTCCCCAACAGCTATATATATACAGTGAAGCAGTTGCCATAGGAACTATTTACTTTTTATATTTGACACACGAAGCTCTGATTTAAACCATCAGTGAGGCTCAAATTATTTTTCCCTCTTTTCTACTGTCCCTGAAATAAAACACTGCAGTAAAAAACTATCACTTAACAGAATGCAAGTATTTCAATACATTCTCCAACACAGTATGAAGGAGGCTGTAAGAGACTTCTGTGGCCAACTTGGAAATTTGGGAAATTCCAGGTTAAACGAGGTTTTATTATGGAACTCACTAGTGTCTTTGCTATACCAAAATGCTTTGCCACACTCAAGGTAGGGCCTATAGTAAGCTGTATTTCTCAAACTAACCTACCGTATTTGCCGGCGTATAAAACGATTTTTTGGCCCTGAAAAATATGCCTCCAAGTGGGGGGTCGTCTTATACGCCAGGTACACTTCAGATAGACTGCCCATAGTGCTTGCTCCGTGCCATAGTGGCCTCCCGATGCCCGCCCACTTCATTCCACATACCGTTCCAGCATCAACAGCGCTGCTGGGTGTATGCTCGGCTGTTATGCGATTTTGCTGTTATGCGATTTTACCACACTCGCAATATTGCACACAGCCGACCATACACCCAGTATGATAGTGCAAAATCGCGAATCGCAATACCATACTGGGTGTATGGTCGGCTGTGTGCGATTTTGCGAGTGTGGTAAATTCGGGTTACCGTATATTTCTTTACATATGCATTGAAGATTCGCGATTTTGCGCTATCATGGTGCCTGTTAGAATGTTGAAGAGCTCGCACTTGCGCACTAGTGAGGTCCCAGGGAGATGCTGATGCAAGGGTGGACCAGACTGCTATAGTGACAGGGCGGGCAAACAGGGAGCAGGGACCAATCAAATCAGGCTTTGTATACAGCCAACAGCCAACCACAATACTGCACCATTGTACAGTACAGCATAGAAAATGTCGACCAGTCAAACCCCTATCATCCCTATCATGGCACCAGCCAAAAGAAAGAAGTATGATGCAAATTTTAAACTGAAAGTTATAAACTTTGCTAAGGAAAATAATAATTGTGCTGCTGCAAGACAATATGGAGTAACAGAAAAGATGGTTCGGGACTGGAAATCAAATGAGAAAGCATTAAAGAGTATGCCAAGGGGTAAGTGTGCATTAAGAAGAGGCCCCCACACTGGCCAGAACTCGAAAAACATGTAGCAGACATGGTGGCTCAACATCGCCAAAACGGTTATGTGGTGACACGAAATACAATACGCTTGTTTGCACTTCAGTGGGCCAAATCAAATCTGATATTGTTTTACCTTTTATTTGGTGTGTGGAAGGTGTGCGGAAGAGGGGGTAGTCTTATACGGCGAGTATATAACAAACTGTATTTTGAGTGGAAATGTTAGGGGGTCGTCTTATACGCCCAGTCGTCTTATACGCCAGCAAATACGGTAACCATGGAATTCCTTTCCCCATGGGCATCTATCTGGTGGTGGTAGTGTTGGATTAAACACTCTTTGAGAAATGCTGGTTTAAAGACTTTCAGGACATAGTTTTCTAGCTGGCAATGGTACAGAAATATCTACTTTGCACGTTTCCTACATTCAATTAAAACCCTTTTACTAAACAAATTGTTATGTTTCCAAACTCTGGTAAACTTTAAAGGCTGTTTAAAGCTCTTGTGAGATCCTTTTCATTATTCACAGTTGAGAGAATAGAATTTTGAGTAGGGGAAAACAGCCACGGAGCCATTGTCTTGCCATTTTAAAGAGAGAATCTATCTCATTCTACCTCTTCTGAATTGGCATATTGGTAACACTTTTCCAAAATCCCTTTCATAGTGGTTTCACCACGTTCTTTCTCCTGTCTTTTTTTCCCCTTCTCAGGGAAGAGGGACCACCATATATGAGACATGCCAGTGAAGAAAGGCAACAGTTCTAGCTACTTCTCCCAGGTTCATGTAAATGGCTTCAAGTGGCAACCCCTCTGCAAAGCCATAGCAGAGTTGAGAAGTGCATGCATTTTAAGAGCACATGGCCATTCCAGATAAATGAATGGAACAAGGAAGAAGCTTTTTTAGCCTTTATTACCCATATGGATCATTTATTCAACAATCATGACACTAAAAGGCACAGATTAATAAAACATGATACTTTTTTTATTGAGAACAAGGACTGCATCTAGAGAATAATGGGTGTTTATGCCCAAAAAGGTAAACACCCCATGAAATATATAAAAATATTTGGGCACTAAGGACTAATTTGTCAATTTTACCTTGGGTGGGAGATACCAGGAAATCTTAATAGCAGAGACCACACAACCTGAATTTCAAAAGAGGAAAAGTTGTTTAAAAGTATATTTAAAAGATGAGTAGGCAGAAGTATGGTGAAGAAAGCAAGTGAAGAAAAACACAGGGTATGTGTCCTTAGGAATTTGGGATTAGCAGGCATGTTTAAAATGCGAGGATGAGTCTAGAGGAAAATAAAGCTGGAAACAGCAAAATGGGTCAGCACGTTTATGTGACATATAAATGAATTTGGGCTTTGCCTTGGATGTTATAGGGAACCCTTATATAATTTTCATTAAATCTGAGTTGCATGTAGGTTTATTGTTCTGGTAAGAATAATGTTTGTGGAGAAGAATTTCAAGAACGCATTGGTCAACGGTGTCAAACACCAGGAAGTGGCCTCATTAATTTGAGGACTAAAAAAAAAATTGTGTTTGACTCAGTAATTCACTCATGAGGAGGTTAAGGATGACACTTGCCTGAACTCTGACTATAACACATTACAGAAAGTGAGTGGAGGTGATGGCTGAGAGGAGAAGGACTAAAATCAATGGAGTTGCCTGGGAGAAACACATTTATGAAAGAAAGCTTAAAGGAACGCCTTGCTCTAAAGTAAGTCTAAACAAAAAAGTATAATTGAGGGAGAAGAAAAATTGTTATCAATATATAAATAATGCATGATTGTCTACTATCAATACAATGCATTAGTCAATTTCCTTATAAAATAAAAATGAAATACTATGACCAGCAAGGCATGTGACTAATCCTTAAAACAGGCCTGTGATTTAAAAATCATCTTAGGTAGTGTTAAAATGCCCTTGCCTATCTTTTAATTTCCTGAGTGGATCGAATAAAAGAAAACAAAATTAACATTCACTGTATTAATTGATTTCAACTTTTTTGTCCCAAATGTGTCAAAAATCCACAAAAAATAATTACAACATTTATATTTTTAAGTAAATACAGTTAAGGTGCTACATTTGATTAAAACAAATGATTACCTTAAAGTATAAATATTTCCTATTGTTATTCATTCTTGAAAAACACAAAAATATATAAAACTGTACATCTGCTTTCCTAAACTTTCTTTCTGGAACACTGAGCTCATGGGGTAAAGTCGAACGCCACAGTCAACTGCATGGAAATATCATTCGACTATAGTCCAATGTCACAGTGAAAGTGTTAAACTGGCTAAGATACCATGTTGGACTAAGTTTGCTGCCCTTAGCAGAAATGGGAATTCTCAATCTGCTATATTTCTGCTCATCAAAATCTGCAGTATAAGTTAGTGTCTGTCACATGGAGGAAAGCAAAGATGGAGGAACCTCTCTTTCTGCATCATATAGTGTCAATCAGCCACTGTCCCAGCTTTTTCTGCTTAGACCCTGGCAAAGGAAACGCCCAGCTATGGGCCTGCAGTCCTTAGTCCCGTCTATTCCATATAATGGACATTATGGTTGGTGCTGGTTTTTAAGGATGCTCCACATGTATGTGAGGCATACTTCACTCTAACATCTCTGATGTTAGACTGAATGATGTTCCTATTTCCTATAAAATGAATAAGCATTGTTTACATTCTCGTTCAAAATATATGTGCTGGGCGGTAAATGCATATACATCCTCAAACACACTACTTATAACCAAGAACTACTTAACAGACTGCGGAGGTAGTCAGAGAGTTTTATTTCATCCTGTTTGCTGTTACACCCAGAATGTGTTTTCTGCGATAATGATGGCATAATGAAAATATTCCCTAATCTGCCAAAGACTGTGACTCAAGGACTCTGCTAAGAGGAAAGATAGGGAACTCAGAGTTGGACAAAATTGGGTTGGAATCAAAGCTCCTCTACTTAGCAAGTGATTCAAGTTCTAAGTTTCAATTTCCTCTGTAAGAAACCTGCCTTACAGATACCAGGAGCACTTGAAAAACAAAGTGAAATGAGTCAGACAAAAGAAGTTGAGAACCATATGATTTCACTGATATGTGGGCTATAAACCTGAAAGCAACAAAGGAACAAGACAAACAAATGAAGAAACAAAACTCATAGACACAGACAATAGTTTAGTGGTTACCAGAGGAAAAGGGGGGAGGGGGTGGTAGATGAGAGTAAAGGGGGTCAAATATATGGTGATGGAAGGAGAACTGACTCTGGGTGATGAACACAATGTGACATATAGATGATGTATTACAGAATTATACACCTGAAACCTATGTAACTTTACTAACCATTGTCACCCCAATAAAGTTTAATTAAAAAAGGAAAGAAAGACAATGTTAGATTGGGGCCCTCAGCAGGCAGTCAGTAAAGGGCAGCTATCTTCTCTGTGGTATACTTGCTTATGTCTCTCTAACAATCTTTAAGATCTTACACCTCAGGCTTCTTATCTATGAAATGAGGAACCATAAACCAATGACAACAAGGTGTAAGGGTTTTCAAAGTTTTCAGGAAGTTGATTTATTATCCTAAACTTTTAAATGCCACTCAGCAGAATTAAGTGACACTTAATTTTAAATGACTGGTTCAGTTTTGAATCTCAAAATGAATTGTAGGACTACAAATTTTTTCATAGGATTTTAAAATCAATTTCAATGAAATTGAAATAGGTAAAGGTTAGATTGATAGGAGATTGTACAGGACGAGTTTTGGAATTCAAAAAAGACTACGTGCTGGTAGGAAGTCTGCATTTTACTTACTGCATCATCCAGTAAGTTTCCTGTACTCTTTTTTCCAGAAGACTTTGATGAAGACGGTGAAGGAGAAGGGGCAGAAAGTGTTTCTTCTTGTTCAATCTCTTTTTCCAATTTTATCAAAGCAGGAGGCTCCACACCATACCTTTTGAAAGACATCTGATCAATATAGATGCATAACTTACAATGATACACTTACCATATGTAACATTTGATTTGAACACTACAAGAGCAAACTGATGACTTTTTAAAACAACATTAACTTTTCTTGGCATGAAATGAAAAGTCCTTAAATGGCATTCTTTTAAGCAGGGGTAAAGCATATCTGCTGTGTGTGTGTGTGTGTGTGTACATATTTGTACAGACACATAACACATAACATACTTAGATTAAATGAAAATACTACATGTAATATATTAATGAATAAATAACATGAATAACCATATAAAATTTACTCTTCAGCTTTTATATTTACTAGCTAATGATATCAGTGTTGTAACTGAGGTCCTATTTTGAACACACGTTTGTTAAAGATGGAAATAAACTCATCCAGAGTCAAGTTTGAAAAGAAACCCCCAACATAAACATTCTTAAATGACTTAACAGAGGAGAAATTCGCTGTTAATTGTATACTTCCTATGGGCCCAGGAACAATGGACTATGGGTTACACAGGTTACTTACTCTCTTAAGAAAAATATAATGAAAGCATGTATAGTGTTACTGGGGAAAAAATGAACAGAAAATAAAGAGAAACAATTTAAAATAACAACATGTTAAAAACTGCATGTTATAAATTATAAATACCATAAAAGTTCAAAGAGAGAGAGAGTTGTTACCAGCATTCTTATCTCCCATAATCATATTTTTGTTAGGCTAACCTTAAAATTGGATTGATTTCTTAGACGCACTTCAATTGTACCCATGTGGAGGAGGCCAAAGATAATTGCAGGATTTAAGAGCTGACAGGACCTTTGGAATCATGTAGTTATACACTTTCATTTGTACAGATAAGAATACAGATTCAGAGAAGATACAGAACTAGCAAGGAGCTAGGCAAAGATGCAAATCTAGGTTTTCTGACTTCAGGGCTGAGGCCATTTTTCTCTGACATTTTAATCAGGTGATCACATGTTAGGAGAGGGAAAAAGTCACTTGGAGATTAAAAAAACATGTGGATAATCTACAAAGTAAATCATCTATAGATTGTGTAACATACATGTTGACAGTCTGTCTAGTATCTTGGAGTGAATAGTACATTAAAACCGTATTAAATGTAAAAACTTTGATTACTGTCCTGTTCTAATGGCTTGTTATCTTAACTGACATCATCACACATGTTCAGTAACTTCTGGGGGAAGCAATTTCCCCAATCTTGATGTTTTTTTTTTTTTTTAAGATTATTTTATTTATTTTTTTTTATTGGGGAACTGGGGGGATGGGAACAGTGCTGGGGAATCGGGGAAAGGGGAACAGACAAGTTGCTGTC